GTGAACTAGTATTGCTAATGATTACTGATAAAGCAGTATTCTGTGTGTTTACCTAAATATCAGTTTAGGTCATTTGAAAATCTTAAAATGTTTTAGGTGAGAGCTTAAGAAAGAAATAACATGGAATTCTGTTTGAAAGGCAGCAGCGTACTTGGAAAAGACAGTTTCACTTGGGCTTTTCAGCTCTGTCAAACTTGAATCTATAAATCCCCACAGAGCACAGATAATTGATGACAGGGTTGGAAGGAAAGAGTTTTTGGTGGTAATTACTTCCATTTTGTACACACCCTGGGTTTGTGTAGGCCACATTCCAGCTGCCTTTTTAGTAATAGAAGTCCAGTATATAATATGTCACATACATGTGAGGTTCTAATCTAGCCTGTTTAACTGAACTTGGATTTTTAAAAAGTAATAAAGAGTTAAATGTACTTCCTTTGAATCCTTTATTTCTTTTCTTTTGGAAACAGTGAACCAAGAGTAAGGGATAATCCATTACTACTGACATGCATATGAAGAGGTTACTGATAGCGTTCCACAATTTAATAAAGCAGGGGTCAGCAAACTTTTTCTGTAAAGGGCCAAGTAGGAAATATTTGCGGCTTGAAAACCAAGTAGCGTCTGCCGCAACTGTTTGACTATTGTAGCACTCAGTAGACAGTTGGTAAATGAGTAAGTATGGATGTATGGATGTGTTCCAATGTAACAACAATGGTCAGTGGGCCATAGTTCGTTGATCCCTGAAAGGAGGAATTTAAGATTTTATTCCCCCCACAACTTTGTATTTTGAAAAAAAAGTTGTGTATAAAAAGTTGAAAGAGCCCTGGCTGATGTGGCTCAGTGGATTGAGTTCAGGCCTGTGAACCAAAGGGTTGTTGGTTCAATTCCCAGTCAGGGCACATGTGTGGGTTGCAGGCCAGGTCCCCAATTGGGGGTGCAAGAGGCAACCACACATTGGTGTTTCTCTCCCTCTCTTTCTCCCTTCCTTCCCTACTCTAGAAATAAATAAATACAAATCTTTAAAAAAAAAAAAGTTGGAAAAATGTTACAACAAGTAAGGGTTGTCTCTTTTTTTTTTAAAAAATGACTTTTCTCTTTTATCATTTTTTTGGACGTTTTCCCATACAAGCTCTGACTCCTACACTCAACCCCTACACTGTCCCATGCCTGTCATTCTCCTGATTGATAATAGGTTGTTTTTGTGTAGTACTTTTTCAAAGGAGTTTCAGGTATGTTTTTAAACCATCCAGTGAGGATGATAGGGTTGACCTACATTTTATAGAAGCCATGAAAGGGCTTCTTATTTTTAGCCCTGGAGCCATCAGGATTAGGGTCCTGTTGCTGTCACTGTAAAGGGGGTATGTCATCTCTCCAGCCTGTAGAGCAGATAGTACATTTGGGGATCCCACTGGAAACGGCTGTTCTTTACTGATGGAAGGGATTCTTGTTACTGTCCTACATCACAATCGGTGGTTAATGTCTCCTGATGTGTTTGCACTTTTTTTTTTTTCATTTCCAGTTTTAACTGCTTATTTAAATCCTTGTCAGCCTCTTTGGTTCTTTTCTCTCCCTGATTTCATTAGCTGCCCCAGCCAACATCTGTACTTGACAATTCCTATTGCTAAAGAGTTTGTTGGTATAAATTCAGATTACTTTTGATCTCTTTAATTAACAGTTTTTGTCTGGTTGGAAAACTAAGGGAATCTGTTATTATAGCCAGATCCTAGGTTTAAATGTGAGAATGTTTATTAAACTGGTAATCTAGTTTAACCGGAATAAAGGGGAATAAGTCTACATTGGGATATGTGGTATCAATAATAATGTAGTCTATACATGTATTTAAAGTTATTTTCAAAGGTTTGAATTGTTATGGTGATAGGAGTTTCTAAACAGAAAAAAAAACAACAATGGAGATGGCTCTAGGGAGAAGTTGATGTAATTCATTTTACCTGGCCAATGTTATGGTTATGCTTAGTGGTTCAATCTAAGCCACTAAGATAATGGGACTTAACCTTGAAGGTTATTGAAGGGAATGAAGGGTCTAGAAAGTGATACATGAAAGATCTGCTGTAGGTTACATGCCAGTAGAGTAGGACAGACATAAATAGTTAAGTGTCGTAAGCGTGGTCGCTGCTATAATAGATGCTGGCATGAGGATGCAAGCTGTGTGATTATCAACTTGTCCCCAGCAAAGAAATGGAGATGCAAAGCAGCAAGGCCTTACTAGGATAACTGCAAGGTGCTTAATGCAACAAGAGCGGAGAGACAGGTGGCAAGAGCCAAGGCTGGGATCAGGAAAGGAAGACCTGATGCTGGATGGAGGGCCTGATGTGCCACCCTGAGGAGCTTGGGCAAAGGCTTCGGAGAGCCACAAAAGGTTTTAAACAGCTGTTAAAAACTTTTTATTAAAAATTAAATATTTCTCATCTCCAAAGAACTCAAAGTACTTTCCCAGTGGTCAGTAATGCCAACTAAGAAAGGAGCCAGCAGATGAGTACCCACTTTATTCTGGAGGTTCTGCTCCCTGCCTTGCAGGAGGGGGTGATATGTAGTGGCCTGGAAAGGCAAAATGAGAAGGTGACCTACATGGAATAGTGTGTGGGGCCAAAACTGGATAGATGTGGAGGGGTTTGAGAGCTCCTGCAAGAGAAATGGGTCACTCGGTGCAGGGGTGTAGATGGAGTGAGTTGGGTGGAGGACAGGTGTCTGACTAAAAAGGGGGGAAAATCTTATGTCCACTTGCAAGTTTTCCACATGAACCATGATTTATGGGGAAGGAAGCCTACAAATAGTATGAATTTAATAATGGAATGAAGTTGAGCATCTTTAGATCATGAAGCACTTAAATCTACCTCTAGTTTTTTCATGGGGTTTAAGTTAAAAATGTTTTTAAAAATATGTATAAAGCAGTGAGTGAAGGTACTAATTATTCCTTTTCCTATCCTGTGATCCAAATATTTTGTTGATGTTGGTTGATAGCAAAAGTAGCATCGAAACAGGGCTTCTGACATAAAACTGCAGCCAGCTTATCCAGGAGCACCACTTGTCTTCAAAAATACTTGGACAGAGTGCTGGTGAGAAGACCTGGGAGCTACTCACGAGGTGGGGATCAGAGGCAATAAAAGCTCACGACCCCAGTGCTTGCACAACAGGTCTCCTGTAATGTCTATTTTCCAGAGGAATTCCCTGTTAATGAAGCCAGTTGGCTGTTTGCCTAGTGTCATCTGGACACTGGGAAGTGTCACAGAAGTTTGTTAGGCCTTTTCGATGTTGACTTTGTGGACTTGTCTACTGACAGGTGGTGACCTTCAATGGGTTGAAGGCAGAGAGCTATGGCGTGTGGTTTGACTCCTTCCAGCATTTAGGCAGAAATTCCATTCAGTCCCCCTCCCACACCTATTGGCCGTTAATGGCCACTTGGCCTTCCCTGCCATTTGGTAGCATCCATTCCCCCCAAATTCCTTCTGCCTGTCAGTTCCTAATCGGATCTTGCCCAGTCTAACTCCATCCGGTATGTGCTTATTTGTTGAAAACTGATAGCATGAAGCAGGGCCACTTGCATTTCTAAGGGCCAGGACAAAATACCCAGTAGCACCCTTCCAGTGGTTAGCTTAAAACTTGACTTTCTGAGGACTTGTCCTAGTTATTAGAGGAGAAGACATGATCATAATGCAGGAATTTTGGAGTCCTGTATAAAACCCAGCTCTGGGCTCCCTGGGGACTATCGTCATCAAAGGCTGTGGACCCATGTGGAAACCCAAAAGGGAAGTTCAGTCCATTTTTCTACTTGCAGTTGAAATGAGAAAAGATTATTCTGGACATGATGCTGAAAATCTCTACACATCGGTGTGTTTTACTTCTTGATTAGGGCAATTTTGCTGCATAAAAGGTCTTTGAAAAACCTCATGGTAATACTTTTTATGTCTAAAAATGGCTCAGTTCTGACAATTTTTACATTTAAGGGATAACATAGGAGAGGGTTTCAAATATCTCTTGATTATTCTAAATTATTTGGGTATATGTTACTAATTGGTTAATAAAAAACAACCCAGACTTCAGAAATTGGTCATTTTTATTCCATCAAGTTAATGGTGAATGGCTTATTTAATAAAACGTCTGTAACAACACAAATAGCACCATACAACTGTTCATTTGTCAATCTTTTTGCCTGTATGAAGCATCTTAGACTTTTATTAAAGGATAGAGTCACTTAGAGGGGAAATCCGTCATTTAAAATCTTCCTGAGCCACTAGGTTAGGTGGGTGCTGTAAGAAGCACTCTGCATGGCTGGGAATCGAAATCCTCGATTTCTTTCTATTTTTTCTGCGCTGAAAGCGACCGGAGAGAAGATTGAGACTTCATCCCGGCAGAGACACGATTGCCCGAAAGCACAGAGCGAGTTGGTAGGGAAGCGGACCGTGCTTGTAGGACTCCTGGTCCTGCGCTCCAGCTTTAACCACTGCTGCCTGCCTTCGCTCACGTGTGCAGTGGGGAGTTGTAAAGTGAGTTATGAAAATAAAAAGGCGGGAAGTCCAGCCTCGATCTTCAGGAGCAGCGTTCTCCGGTGGTTGCTCCGCGGGCCCAGGGTCCGTGCCTTCAGCATCTTAACCCCGCTCCCCTTCCTCCGAAGTTGCGGAGGTGCCGGGAAGAGGAGGGGCTTCGCCTCGGGCGCCCGAGTGATTGGCTGCCCGGGGCCCCTGGCGAGGGCTGTGTGGTCCAGCCGGGGTGGAGAGGGGCGGAGCGGCCAGTGCTCCAACCACCGCCACCACCGCCACAGTCGCAGCCTTGGCCGCTGGGCAAGTAGCTCCTAGTGGCGGCTTCCTTGGAACCCCGACGAGGACGGGGGCGCTACGCTCTGCTCGCTGCGCGAGGAGCCATGCTGGCCACCTGCGCGTAACCGCCGCGCCCGGGCAGTCGCGGACCGGACCCTGTATACCGTCCCTCGCCCAAGCCCAGTGTTCCGCGCACGCAGCTCCCTCTGTCTGTGCTCGTCCCTCGCAACCATGCCCCGGGCGACTGCACTCGGGGCCCTTGGGCCGCTGCTGCTGCTGCTGCTGCCGCTGCCCCGCCACGCCGATGGCCTCGGGGAGCGCTTGGACGCCGCCTCGGACTACTCGGCGCTGGAAGGCGAGGAGAGCGCGGAGCAGCAGCTGGAGCATTACCACGACCCGTGCAAAGCCGGTAGGTGCCGCCGCCACAAGTCCGGCAGAAGTTTGCCTTTGAAATGCAAATGAGGTGGTGGGCAAGCCTGCGCTGCTGTCTGTGGGGCGGGTCTCTCCTCCCCTCCTTCGAGGTCCCCGGGGCTCCCCGGGAAAACAATGCCCCAGAGGGACGGCTGAAATGCCCCTCGGGCTGGGATGTCCGGGTCCCAGGTTTGCGCACCGCTCGGGGTGGCGGCCGCGGGAGCGTTCCCAAAGCGAATCGGGGGGGTGCCCGAGGCCGAGAGGGCTCTCAAGGCTGGGGCGGGCGCCCAGGCCGCCTGACAGCCAGGTGGTCAGCGCGGCTGCCGCGGGACGCGCTGAGCTGGAGCGGAGCGGCGGGGCTGGGCGCGGCGTTCCCAGGCTCAGATGCAGTCGCTGGCTCCGATTTCACAGCATTTGTAAGTTTCGCGCAAAGTTTCCCAACATCTTGTGGTTACTCGTGGGAAGAAAATGTTTAAAAACCGAAAAGCTTCACAGCAGACAAAAGGAACGGGGGGAAATGTGCATGACTCAAGTTGCTGCACACCACTCTGTGGCCCCTCAGCGTGGTCCTGGCCCGGGGGTCGCCCCCGGCGGACGGAGATGGAAGCCGGCAGGTGCCGTAATCCCGCCAGGAAGCGGCGCCCCGGGGCGCACAAATCTTACTGGCGCAAATCGCGGTCCGGGCGCTGCAGCTCCCGCTTCCCGTGAGCCGCCAACCGGCTCGTGTGTCTTGAGGGAAGCGGCTTCCAAGCCAGAATAATTAGTTGAGACGTCAGCCCCAGAAGGGCTCAAGCACAAGTTCCAAAGAGAACCTATGGATCTGAGGCAATTTCCAGCTGGGACAGAGGAATATTCACCCTCCGGATAGAGGATGGTCTCAGAGGCCCGCCCACCGGTTCCTGGCGGGTGGCCAGGGGTGCTGAGTAGTGGTGTTTACCTCGAGGCATGGTCTGGCCTTTTCACTTGGCGGCCTGCAGAAATGCGCAGAGGGAAGAGGCTCCCTCCATTCGCAAAAGGGCAGGAGCTTCTCTTAGGTGTTGGGCCAGATCTGTGGGGGTGCCGTGGGTCGGTGGCCCAATTCCTCACTCCCTGGAGACTTCTTGTAGATTCAGTTCCCTCATCTCTAAACTGGGGACAGTAATTATAGGAGGACTCAGATGATTTATGGGGAAATGTTCTGCAAATGGAATATTAAGGAAGGCCTGTAATTATTTGTATTGCTACTGCAGCGGTTATGATCTGGGCTGGGCATAGGGCAGGTCAGAATTGGGTGAGATCTGGGAAAGATAAGGTTATTAGGAGGCCGGAGGATCTAGGAGGTTGTGAGACCTGAGAATCTTCTGGAAGTTGAAGATCAAACCAGGCTTTGAGAGGCTTGGTCTTATGGTGGAGGAAGATTCCTCCAGAATACCCATCTATTGCTGTCCCTTGTGGGACTTTTGAATGGGGAAGGTGGGCAGAAGAGTTGGTTCCTGGGTAGTGTGAGAGAATATCGCCCCGCAGCGTGCCCCGACTGAGGTATCTCAGTTCATCACAGGACCTCCCTAGCTCATGACCAGGGAGAAGAGTCTTTGGAGCACTGTAGGAGTGGTGGTCTTGACTTGAGAAGATGGACACTGAGCCGGCAACAGTGGGATGGGGGCTAAAGAGGGTGGCTGAGTCATCACCTGCGCCTGTCAGATTCTTGACTTTACTGAATGTGAGCTGGGGGCTGTAGGAGGCGTCTGGGCAGCTGGGGTCTGGACTGGGGAAGTGATCAACTCGCCCAGGAATGTGTTAAGCGCCCCTGTTATGCTGGGTGCTGCAAATCCAGGTGAAAGAGGCATAGGTCTGTCTGGAGAGCTCACAGCTCCTGGTCTCAGCCTTCAGGAATAACCTTGAGGTAGGTTGTCGGTTGGGGCCTCATTTTTCTCCAGTAATTTTGGAGAAAACGATGGATAACCAGGGCATGCGGGCTTTGTGACTCTTCACAAATAGGATGGTATTGGTGGGCAGGGCTGGAAAGTAGAGCATCCTGGGAGTGTGGTTCCGCAGCTCCCTGCATCCTCCACTGGCAGCCTTGATCCTCTCAACCCTTTGGCCTCTCCCTGATCCATGCTGATGCTGAGAGTGGCCAGAAGAGGGCGATAGCCAGGGGGAAAAGATCACATCTCAATCTGTCCGTGGTTCTGGAAATTCCCTGATCTAGGGAACAGTCTTCTGTAAGGACAGCAGCAGTTCACCAGTGCACTGAGGTCTCAGTGAAAGGAAATGCCTCTCAGTTCAGGGGAACACTGCATTTCCTGGTGACATATTTAAATGAAATCTTTAGGGCCACCGTCTCATCCTATGCCAGTCAAATCTTAACTCCCTGACTCCTCTGGCCAGGAGCTCCCTGCAGAGGACCTGCCTTAGGGCTTTAAATCAGAAACACTTCCCACCTGCTCCTTCTCAGCTGGAGAGGGGCGGGGCTCGCCATTCTGCTACAGGTGCTGAGTGTAAAGATGAGAGTCTGCTCCTGGGCTCCCCTCGGGGCCTCAGTTGCTCAGCTGTGTAGGGAAGATACTGGACCTGGGGATTGCAAACTGACAGGTCCAGGGTGCTGGTTCTCTTGGTCCACATCTGCTGTCTTGCCCTGCTCCTACTTCATACCTCGTGGGCACTGGAGTTGTGCCCCTGCTGTTTTCCTACTTAGTATTCTGTGACTTTTGCTTCCATCTCAGTCACTCAGAGGCTGACGAAATTGGTTACTGTTTTACTGTTCACAATTTTGTCATTTACAAATTTTACTCTTTACTCTGCCATTTATAAGCTGTGTGACCTTGGTCAAGTCAGCTAATTTCTCTGTGCCTTTGTTTCCTCATGTTCAAATTAGGATGATTCCTACTAGATTAAAGTGCTTAAAACAGTGCTTGACATATAGTTAGGTACTTTATAAATGAATTTTCTAGAAATTTCTTGAACGACTATCTCCATGCTGACCTTCAAAGCATGATTTAAACTGTAAAATTTAAATTTATTAATAAACAATGTATTTGGTGTGGTACTAAGGTATGGTTTTAAAATCCGGTGATTGCAGCCCTGACCGGTGTGGCTCAGTTCATTGTGTGTCATCCCTCAAAGCAAGAGGTCGCTGGTTTGATGGTCCCTGGTCAGGGCACATGTGTGGGTTGCAGGTTTAGCCCAGCTGGGGATATGGACAAGAGGCCGCCAACTGATGTTTCTCTCATACAGTGATGTTTCTCTCCCTCTCTCCCTCCCTTCTCCTCTCTCTAAAAGTAAATAAATAAATAAACTCTATTTTAAAAAAAATCAGGTGATCACAGAATAGGAGTAAATCTGTGAAGTCTTCCTGACCTGGGGCTGGTAAGGTATATGCGGCTTTCTGGGCATGATCTCCGACTAGTGGCTCTGCTGTTTTTTCAATCTCCCCATCACCATGCTCCTGAGAGCAACCTTTGCAACCTTTGCTTCTCCTGCCTGCTTGTCCTCATCTATAATTCTTTAGCTGGATTCAGAGCCAGAAGTTCTGGATCCGTATCCCTCTCACTGTCGATGTGGCATTGAGTAAGTCACTTTACCTTTGTATGTCTCAGTCTCATCTGCAAAATGAAAAAAACCGCTTGTCCTGTAGGGCAGACACGAGGCTCGTTTTAGCTGGATTTCCCAGAGAGCAGAGCCTGAGACAAGGACTTGTGTGCAGGCAGTTTGGGAGTTGATCCCAAGAAGCAGGGTGAGGGAGAGGGAGAGGGAGATAGGAAAGGAGAAAATCCAACGAAGGGAGTGGAATTGAGGTAGCTGCTTTAGTTGAGGGGGGTCTTGTCCCCACTAGGCCTCTGCCAAGTCTCCTTATTGGGGGTCTCAGAGCCCTCTGGGATGGCTTTATCCAAGGAAGCTCTTGCCAGCAGCCCTCACATGACTGAGGCAAGGCTGGAATGTCAAACTTTGTGGGGTCAGCGGTTCTTGTCTGCTTTGGCCATTGCTCTAAGCCCAGTGCCTAGAGCAGTGCCTGGCACACTGTAGGCACCGTCAATATTTGCTGAACCAGGGAGTGATGATTTTGGCCCTCTGTGGGCCCATGGCTGAGGGAACCGCTAAACACTCTCAGCCTGGAAAGTGAAGCAGCCCTGGCCCAGGGGGCTGCAGCCTTCGAGAGTTCTCAGGGTGGAGCTGAGGGGGATCGTGGGGTCCTGGGGGTGCCCCAGGGGCTTCCATCCTTCATGCAGGGGCAGGCATCCTGGATTCTTAAGCACAGATAAGAGGCTCCCATGGTGCCTCCCAAAGTCTGTTTCTTGGCACCTCTTCTCTCCCTCCTCCCATGGGCCGCACCCAGGTGAGGGAGACTGGCATTTTTACAAGTTTATTCTCATCTCTCCTTGTTATGGTGTTCTTGCTGAAGGGCAGATGCCGATTTGATGGAGTTAAAATATTTCAGAGTTGTATTGAGACAAAATGTTTATCGTTCCTGTTTCTCTAGGCAGGAGTACACCATCTAGTCCACCTCTGTCTCTGGCATTTCACCCTGAAGTGCACTGGGGCAGGGCATGAGGTGGTTGAGAGTACAGGCTTTTTTTTTTTTTTTAAGATATTGTTTATTTATTTTTAGAGAGAAGGGAAGGGAGAGAGAAAGAGAGGGAGAGAAACATCAATGTGCAAGAGATACATTGATTGGTTGCCTCTCATACGCACCCAGCCGGGGACCTGGCCAGCAACCCAGGCATGTGCCCAGACTGGGAATCAAACCAGCGACCTTTTGGTTCACAGGCGGGAACTCAGTCTGCTGAGCCACACCAGCCAGGGCAAGAACACAGACTTTGACACCTGATAGACCTGGATTCAAACTCTACCACCTGTGCAAGGCTTTGTGACCTTGAGCAAGTTACTTAACCTCTCTGAGCCTCAGTTTCCTCACTTGAAAAATACTATGAATATTCACTCTTCAGGGTTGTTTTCAGGATTAAATGATACCGTGTTTTTCAAGTGCCTAGTGCAGATTCTGGCTCAAGGCAAGTGTTCTGT